CTGCCTTGCAAGTGTAAGGACCTGAGTTCGATCCCCAGTACCAAAAAAAAAAAAAAAAAAGAAGAAAAAATTTTTCAGAGAAAGCTGCGCATGGTGGCACACACCTGTAATCCCAGCACTAGGGAAGCTGAGGCAGGAGTATCAAATTCAAGGCCAGCCTGTGCTACATAGTGAGACACTGCCTCAAAAAAAAAAAAAAAAGTGTCCAATGGAAGTTAAGCAACCAAGGGAGCCAGAGGCTGACCCTTGCAATGAGAAGAAACTCTCAATATGGCAAGTGCCTAAGGGAACAAGATGTGATTTGCAGATAGCAGAGGAAAGAAATTCAACCACACATTCACCTGAATGCAGCCCTTACAGTGGGAAGTAGTATGTCCTCCATGACAGTTTTCACCCGGGTTTGCCTCTCAGCTCCAAACCCAGCCTTCTCTGCTTGCCTTTGTGATACCTAAGACTCTGCAAAGCCACATGTTGGGCTCCACCAGTTAGCAGTGCCATGGAGGAAGGAGGGGCCTGTGACCTTGCTACTTGTGGCCCCTCTGAGCAAGCAACACCCCAGCCACACTTGCCAGCAGGAGCAGTTCCAGTTGCCAGAGTTTCTAACACTCGAAGAGCTGGGGTCATGGTTCCTCACCCTTCACTACCCAGGAAGCACCATCAGAGGCCAGGAGCCCAGGGAACCACTCTTCTAAGTTTTAAGCCTTTAGTAATTGCAGTGGCTTCTCTTTGTTCACCCAGCCCAGCCCAGGAGGTAATAATCGCTTCCTCTGTGATATCTTGGAATTTCTTTTACCCTGTCCTACCTCATTGGCTTTGTTCACAGTCAGCAATTCTTTATACAGTCATGCACAACTTGTGGACATTTAGGTCAGCAACAGGCCACGGATATGACAGTGGCCTCATAAGGTTATAATAGAGCTGGAAAATTACTGTCACCTAGTGACATCATAGCTGCTGTACTGTGATACAACACACATTCCTCACGTGTCTGTGGCAATGCTGGCGTGGACAAACCTACTGTGCTGCTGGTCACATAAAATACAGAATACATTAGTATTATGTATAGTACATAATACTTGCTAATAAATATGTTACTGGCTTTTGTATTTACTATACTATACTTTTTCTCATTATTTTACTTTATTTTACTTTTTGTTTTTTTGAGACAGTGTCTCACTATGTAGCTCAGGCTGAACTCAGGGCAATCCTCCCGCCTCAGGCTTCTGAGTGCTGGGATTACAGGTATGTACCACCATGCCCAGCTTTCTCATTATTTTTATTCTTGTTATTTTAGAGTGTACTTTTTTTTTTTTAAAGTTTGCTGTAAAACAGAATTCATGTGATGCAAGCAGCAGCCTCATACCCTTCTAATTTACCACCTGCATGGATTGCATCAAGAGGTCATGTGAGCGACTGACCTGTGCCATGCAGATTTGTGCAAGGGCGCTCTGTGATGTCTTCACAATGATGAAACTGCCTGATGACAGAGTTGTCCCCATCATTGCTCATCATTACATGAGTGTATTTAGGTTTTTCTTTTTGCATTATTGCTGTACTTCTGGCTCCTGATACATCCCTGCTATGGTCTGAATATGTTTCCCCAAATTACCCAGTGCGGATGTTGGGAGGTATGGCCTTTGAGGAGGTATTTAGGTCATGAGAGTTAATGCTACTATAAAAAAGGCTTGCACAAGTGGATGTCCTTGCTTCCATTCTTCGTCTATGGGTCTGAGGCAGGAGCTTAGGGTGTGGCAAACTGGCTGGGCAAGTGGGTATGACCTGTCAATCACAGAGATCCAGGAGACTTGCACTCAAGCCCTGGACCTGGTACCAATTAGAAAATGCTGTTTTCAATTCTTATGAGAACTCAAGCAGGTTCTTGACAGGATGGCCTAGGTCTGACATTAGCCAGAGGAGTGGAAATACAAAGGACAGCCCCATTCCCATGTAGAGCTTTGGAGTAGCTCAACTCTTCATATGGGACTTGGGTTCTATACATCTTCTCCCCGTCATGGCTCATAGCTGTAAAGGTGACTGGTTACACGCCTGTATGGTTGACTTTTAACTGGGGAAGGAAACCCAACCAACCAGCTCTCGTCTTTGTGTCATTTTGTGTCACTATCAAAAGCAGAGAGATGAAAGACAATCACTCAACTGGGCCTGTGTCAAGCACTGGGAGAGAGCATCTTTGCTTGTGTGAATGGGGATCCTTACTATGTAATGGACGTGCAAGAGAAGTGTGTGTTGATTACTGACACCAGCCAGCTTCTCTCATCGTCAGTGCCTGAGAACATTGAGTGTCCCACGCGCATTTGGACCTCAGGCCTGTGAGGGATGCTGCAGGCATAATAGACTAAAGACGAGTGGCAGAGGGAGGATGAGGAGGCCATATGAATTTCTGTTCCCCGTTTTCACAGCCTGGAACACCATGGAGAGTTGCCGACTCCCCAGAGAATACAGATACTGGGGAGCTGTGTTCTCAAGTCTTTCGTCAAATGGCAGGATCAGTCTGTTCCAGATCTTCATTTCTAATTACTGCTTTAGGAACAAACCATCTCCTGAGTGTTCCAGCAGAAATAGACTTGATTTTCAGAACTTTTGCAGCTTCCTTGCCAATGTTCGGAGTATGATTACTAAAATGATGATGGTAATAATAGCAAGCACTCTTTGAACAACCTAATTTGAGTGTGTTTAAATTTTCTTGTTAATGTATTTAATGCTCAGAAGACCCTTAGAGACAAGTATTATTATTATCACCATCATTCCTTGTTTACAGATGAGAAAACTGAAGCATAGAGGGGCTGAGTGGCCCTACCCGAGGCCACACTAGTAATATAGACCCACTATACACACTGCCCTGCCTGGGTCTCCGAGGGGCAGGACAGGTACCTAGAATGTTCACTCTGATAGTGGTTTTTTCCCCTTGTTATTGTTGTTGTTGTTTTTCAGACAAGGTCTTGCTATGTAGTGCAGGCCAGGCTCTAACTTTATGCAATCATCCTACCTCAGCCTCTTGATTGCTAGGATTACAGGCATGCACCACCATGCCTGGCTTAACTTTTTTAAAATGTTTATTAGTACATATTTGTTGTCAATATTCAAGGGGAGATGGTACATGTAAATAACACATAATTCTATTTATTTCCCCTTCCCTCCCTCTCTGACAGTATATTGAGGGGCATGAGCAAGGCAAATGATAAAATTACCTGTTCCTATCTTTTGTTCAGTACATACATTTGTGTCCACATTTTAAAGTGATATATAATACATACCACATGGCACCAGGATACAAATTAGCTTTTTAAAAACCAGAATATAAAGGCCTGGACATTTTCAGATTTAATATGATGGGCTATTAGCTAAAATTTATATAAACTACCAGGAAAAAAATGTTCTGCTGTGGATTTGCTTGGAATATTTTTAAAATAGTATTTTATTTTAAAAATTCAGGTGGGTTGTTTTTCTACCAATCCAAACTTTGGATTTCTTAGTCTGGGATAAGCCCTGGCCAGTTATTGTCATAAATATATCCTGGTCAATGACACTGTATGCCTCTAGTTTATGGGTAGAGACTCATACTCCATTTAAACTCACTGATGTAAGAATAATAAGGAAAACTGGAGAGGTCTCAAAACAAGAATGAACATGATCGAAAGGTTGAAAAGTTATAGAAATATTTAATCTGGAAAAGAGAAGGCTGAAGAGTGTGTGAAAAACTCACTCCAAATGGATGAATAAATTAGTCAAAAGGATACTGAACAGATGTTTTAGTCACCTTGTACCAGATGGAGAAGGTTTGCTCAAGGCCCCTGCACAGAGCCACCGCAAGGGAATACAAGGAGGAAAACTGGGCACCAGAAGCCAGGTTGATCACCAACAAGGTTTGTTGTAATTGGAAGAGTGGTCAGAGCACAAAGGCAGTGGTTTGTTAAGGGACATTCTCTCAGGCAGACACAAGGACATCAGGACCAGGTAAGGTGAATGTCAGGTCCCTGAGCATGTCCCTGCTGCCTTCATACAAGGTGCACCTGAGTCCCACACTGACCACCTGGCATGTCACACAGGCAAAACCTTATCCTGCCCAGGAGGGCTGTGATATAGCTAAATGGTACAGCCCTTGCCTGGTGTGTTAGTCAAGCTTTCCTACTGCTGCGACACAATGTTGATAATGCACAACTTAAAGGAGTAGTAGTGTAATTCACCTCATGGTTTCAGAGGTCTCAACCCATGGTAAGCTGGCTCCGAGGCAGGAACGTCATGGTAGAAGGGCCTAGTGGAACAAAGCTGCTTAGTTCATGGTGGCCAGGAAGCAGAGCACAGAAAGTAAGGCCCAGAGAGGAAGGGGCCAGGTCTCAGGGTCCAGATATAAATACCCAAGGCACACCTCCATGACCTACCCAGACACACCCAGAAATGTGCTCCATCAATTCCCTGGGCAGCTTCGAAGCCAATTAAGATGACACAGCAAGCTTAACTGTCACACCTAACATGTGCTGGGTTCCATCACTGGTGCTCCCCCAAGTCTCCCCCAAAACCCCACAAAACAAAACACCTGTGGGTAAGGAGAGACTACTATCAGGTTCTCTAGTAGGTTCAGAAACCCCAAGTTGTTATTCTTTAGGATCTTTTTTTGGTATTGCTGAAATGTTCACTGTTGAGTCATTCCCTTATTTTAAAAATAAACACTCCGATCCTATCAGGACTAAAGAACATTTGGCGAATCAGAGTGATCTTCTCACTTAAACATTTTAATCAATTCTAGCTTCTACACATATATGACATCATTGTAACAACACAAAGGAATGGCTGGGGGCAGACTTGCTGAGATTCTCCTGGAAATGATTTATCTCACAAGGGTTTTAGAAAACCCTCGGCCATATTGCAGGAAGGATGGAGGGCCCAGGGTCCTGGGACATAAATCTTAGTAACCTCTGTAAAAAGCTGAGGCCAGGCTGCACACACCATCTGGGGGAGGGCCACAGATTGGCCACAAGCGGTACCTGTGCGAGCCCACAGTGATGGGGCTGTGGTGCTGTCACAGAGGATGGAGCCGGGAGCTGGGCGCACACTCTGGAAAGCCAGGCACACCAGACGGTCCAACTGGAAGGGAGCCTGCAAGACTGGTATTCCCAGGCAGGGTGCTGGTCAAAAAGTAGATAAAGATTTATTTCAAGGATTTGGCTCATGCAACTGTGGGGCCTGGCAAATTAAAAACCCTCAGGTCTGAGGACATAGAGGAAAAACAAACTCAGCTTCTCCTGCTCTACGCTCACAGCACAGATCATTTGTGTGGTCCCAAAATGTGTGGAGATTTCTCCTCACTGGCAACCATGTGACCAGTTCTGCAATGGACACTGGCTGGACACCCTTGAACTTGATTCAGTTCGGACACTATTCTGCCAGCTGCCAGTCCTGGCTCTGGAACTTCGGTTGGAGCCGCTACCAGTCGGGGTTCCCATGACACTCTCCTTGGGTTTGATGAATGTGCTAGAGCAGCTCACGGAAGTCAGGGAAACCCTATAATTATATTTACCCGTTTGTTATAAACACAAATGAGCAGCTGGGTAAAGATATACACAAGGTGACCTGTGGAAGGGTCCCCATTGCAGGAGCTCCTGTCTCCCTGAAGTTGGGGTCACTGCCCTCCTGGCAGGCGGATGAACTTGTACCCACCTTCCCTCAAGCCTCCACGTACTCAGTCTCCAGAAACTCAGGAAACCTTGTCTTTCAAGGGTTTTATGGAGACTTCACTGCATAACCATTACTGAAGCATGGACAATGTAGAAATGAGATTGGAGGGAAAGGGTGTGGTCTCACGCTGACAGACGAGACCTGCCTGGCCAGTCTGTCCAGATTCACCCCTTCCTCCCTGGGTAGGGGCAGTTTCCTTCTGAAGTGGGGGTTTTATCGTGGACCATTAGGGAATATCTTGATGGTGAGCTTCCACAAAGATGGGGGTAGAAATACATATGTTTGGTTTCTATCACCAGTCTCAGGGATAAGAAGTTCTAGTTTCCATGGTTTGTCTTAGGGAGAAGAGCAGGTGAAAGGTGGGCAGGAAAGGTTAGAGAGAGACATTTGGCTTCCTGAGGACTGGTTTTTGAGACCTGAGGCACCTCAACATTATAGCAAAGACTGTTGTTACTTTTAAAGCTGCTTCAAGATTGAATGACACAATGTCAGATACTTAAGTCTTGTTCTAGTCATTTGGTAAATAGTTGTGAGAGTTTCAAACCAGGAACTGTGGACAAAACCTAAAAAATATTAAAAAACAAAAACAAACAACAACAAAAACACAGCAGGGTAGACCAACAGGCTGGAGACTCAGAAAAAAGCCTTGGATGCAGGTAGGGTCCAAAGGCAATAAAGAAGCAAAATTCCTTCTTCCTTGAGCACTTTCAGTCTTTTTCTCTTAAGGCCCACCCACATCACAGGTCATCTGTTCTGCTCAAAGTCTGCTGATTTAACTGCTAGTCTCACCTAAAAAGACCTTCACAGACACAGCCAAGTGTGTTTGACCAAACATCTGAGTACTGTGGCTGAACTGACACATGAAATTCACCTTCACCGTTGGAGCCAGTAGAATACTGTATAAGAGTAAGAAGTCAGGAAGCATGGGAAACTCCCACTCACTTACAGCCCTATTTACTGGGGCACAAGCGAAACAATGGATCGCTGGAAAAGCTGAAGCCCAGTTGTGAGAGTCTCCACGTGACTTGATGCTATCTATGTTCATTCATTAAAAATATATATATTGAGGTGCTACAGTATGCCAATCAGTGTGCTAAGTCTTGGGGAGCAAAGATGAAAGGTGTTCTCTGCTTGTGGTTGAGTGCGGGAGATAAATAATCACATGATGAACACTCTATAGTACATTTTACTTTGATTGAGAAATGCACAAGGAGCAAAAGAGGCCCAAGGGCATGAAATTCAGCAGACACCACAGAGTAGTGGGTGGGAATTTTTCCACTTCCTCTTTCCTAACAGCAGAATTGGTCCTAGTGCCTGGAATGCAGGCTTACTTGCAGAGGAACCTCAAGGTGGCTAGGGGAGGGGTCAGCCAGGAAGTGGAGCCAGGTGAGTGAGTGAAAGTCTAGACAGATCAGGAAACAGCCATTTTAACTCAAAGCAGTTTTAGATTTGGTTGACATCGTGGATGGAAGGATTTTTACCTGTGCAACTCTTGCGTCCATGATCTTATCATAGACCCTGGAGGCGGAATGCAGTGTCACTTGTGGGATAATGGGGTTGCTATAAATCATAAAGCATGGTGGCCCTTTGGTTGCTGAGCAAAAAGCGAGTCTGAATTTAGCTTTTACCTAGATGGAAATTCAGGGAGAGGAAAGAGAAAATGGATAACTACAGACAGAACAAGACATTTTAAGACATAAAGAGAGCTGACTGTATTCATTTCCTAGGACTATCATAAAAGGCACTTAAAACAATAGAAATTTTTTTTCATAGTTATAGAAGCTAAAGTTCAAAATCAGGGTGTTGGAAGGGTCATGTCCTCTCTGAAACCTGTTGGGGAGAATTCTTCCTTGTTTCTCTCTGGCTTCTCCTGGTGGCCTGTGATTCTGGGAGATCCTGGGTCCAAGAAGCATCCCTCAGATCTTTGCCACGGTCACCATGTGGGCCTTCCTGTCCTGGGTCTGCGTTTCTGCTTATAGGATGCCAATCTGTTGGATTAAGGGCCCCACCAGAGCTCTTCACTAATCACATCTGCAACAGTCCCATTTCGAAATAAGCCCTTTCTGAGGTACCTTGGTGTATTTTTGGGGGGGTCATAATTCAACTCATCACTGGTGAGAACTGATGACGCCGATAAAAGAGAGGTGAGATTAGCTTTCCATTAAAAAAAAAAGAAAAGCTGGGCTGGGGATCAGTGGTAGAATGCTTGCATAGTATACGTGAGAGTCTGGGTTTGATCTCTAGCATCATGGGAGGAAAAAAAACCAGTTGCAGTGCTAAGCAAAATTAACTGGCATCTGTTGATCAGTTTTCAAAATTAACTGGCACATGTTGATCACTACTTTATTTTGTATTTCCAGCTTATTTTCTGAAATTCAGAAAGCATTTTCACGTTCTTTTTTCATTAGCTCTGGTAGTAATGATACTCTTTCTGTGTGTGTACACTTTAATTATATTTCTACTGATTTACAATAGTCAATAATGCCAGTAATGGCAGTAAGTTATGAAGAATTTCCTACACACTATTTTTATGATTATCTCACCATGGAAAAAGGGCAAACTAAAAGTTCAAATGTGTATGTTTTGCTTTAGAACGTTTTATTATTTACATTTAAATCCCTGTGCTACTGGCAGTGCGACCTGCCCATAAATATGCACAAGCATGATGAAGTATTTGAGCCTGTCGTGACCTCTGCATCTCTGAGTGGGTCTTATAAGTAAGTCAGTGAGAGGTCAGTTTCTACTTCTTTTAAAGACCCACAGGCTTGTCTTGAGGCACTACTCTTGCTCTGACAGATGGCGTGTTAGCTTTCTGTTACTGTGACAAAATACCTGAGAATAACAGGTTAAACGATGAAAAGGTTATTTTTGCTCATAGTTTTAGGGCTTTCAGTCATAGCCTGCTGGCTTCATCACTCTGGGCATGAGGTGAGGTAGGACATCATGGTGGAACAGCATGGTGAAAGAAAGCTGCTCATCTCATGGCAGCCAGAAAGCACAAGGACACAGAGTATGTGCACCTGTGCCAGCAGGCTTCCTTCTTCTGTTTTTGTTCCACTGGGCCTACAATGAGTAGAAAAATGCAAAGCTGAGGTATGATGCATAGCAGAATGAAAACTAGGGTAGGCTAAGTAAGTAGGTGCTTGGTTCCAACAGATCACACATGCTTGGATGAGACATGAAAAAGGGAATTTTAAGTTGGACTCCAACAAAGAGCAGTCAGATTGGAGAAGATGAGGAAGCACGGTTGTGTCAGATGTGGTGGGCTCTGAATGTGCACCTTCAAAGTGCTTCCCTGTGTTTAGAAGGATTAGTGGTAGAAACCTCATGTCTTGTTCTGAAATCCCACATGTAGGGCATCTGTTTTATCTCTGGAACTTAAAAAGACCCGGAGACCACATTCTTTGCAATGTCAGGGCAAACAGAAATGGAAAGAGAAAACACTCCAGAGAAATGGTGTGGTGGATGTTTAAGATGTATACTACAGGAAGACTGGGGAGAAAAAGGTCAGATCACCCAAACTCCCCTTAAAACACCCATAACCCCGAGTTCGATCCCCGGTACCAAAAAACAAAACAAACAAAACACACCCATAACCATCACTTCTACCATATATGTAGTTTTCTCAAAACAGCTTTCCTGTCATTGTGCTACAAAAACACAAAAAGCATAAACAGGGTGGTACAGGAAGTGCTGCTGGCCCCCTCTCCTATGCTAAGTCTTCACACATCTGCACATCCTTCCCAACTGTGATTCTTAGTTCCAGGCTTGTTCGCCATCAAAGCCTCCCTGCCTTCTCACGTGGCAGGCTGGAGGTGGGAGGGAGTTGCTACTGCCTGGGAAGCGCCTTGGTGACAGACAGGAGTCCATGGATGAACACCCCAACCCCCTAGCCCTTTGGGGCTTACTCTGAGGCACTAGTTCCCAGGATTTCCCCATGGGATAAATCTCCATCTGCCTGCAGCGCTAATTTGGTAATTCATCTCTGTTCTTCCTATCCCCTTCGCAGTTCTCCACAGCACCACTTCACAGCCTGCTTGTACCTGAAAATTCATGTCAGAGTCTGTGGAGAGGCCCAAACTGAGACAGATGGCAATAACACCAAATTTTTAATTTTACTGATGAACTCTGATGGAGTTCTGTTAAAAGGAACACCAAGTGTTCTGTTACATGGTGTTGCTTTTGCAGTAATTGTGGCACTGTGCTGCTATTCCACTGCACTGAAACCCCTTGTTTCTTTCGTTTTTCTTCGGTACCAGGGATTGAGCTCAGGACTTGTGCTTTTGAGGCAGGCACGGTGCCACTGAGCTAAATGCCTGGCACTGAAACCCTTTGGATCTAAATGTGCAGCTGAAATTACTATAATAAATAAATGTTGTTCCTATTTTAAAAGACCAATGAAAGTCTTAGCTGAACCCCAAACTCTTTGTATTAAGTAGTAATTATTTTGCACCCTATATATTTTTTAGCTGAGTTATACATTTCCTGCAAACATTGACTAACATGCTTCCTCATTTCCAAGGGATTAATCACCTAATCTGGTATTATAAATTCCTATCAATTTTTCAATTTAATCATTATACATTTTTTTTTGTTACCGGGGATCGAACTCAGGACCTTGGACTTGCAATGCAGGCATGGTGCTACTGCCCTAAATCCTTGGCCCTTCATTATACATTTTTAAGGTAGCATTCAAATTAGAAATATGGTTCCAGACCAGTATCCTTATAACTAACCTTACTTACTAAAGACAATGAAACTGAAAATTCTAGGCAAGAAACCTCCTAAAATGATTAAATTTGTTGAAAACTTTATAATAATCATCCCTCTTTAGTAATACCAATCTTGCTTACAGCTTAACAGTTTCATTTAGCATTTCTGATATATATAAAATACAAGCCAAAGCACTTTATAGTATTTTGACATAACTACTGTATGTAATTTCTCATACATTGAAACAAAAATCGAGTGTTAAAGAATAAATATTTTAAAACAATATTCTTTTGAACGCTATCGTATTTCCTATGTAGGATAAGACAAACTCCTTTCCATGTCATTGTAAAGTTACAAGATAATGTTTTATTCAAGCCATTAATAGTAACTTTACTGACATCAGTGACATTCACTGATTTGTGGGTCTTTCCCCTGGTCAATGTATAATTTAATGACTTGCTCACTGGCTGTTGCTACTTTTCAATTGTTTATAAACCCATGTTACTGGCTGACTGTATCTATGGTACATCTGTTGCACAATGATAATGGAAGAGGAAAAAGGTTTTCCTGTGGGATAATTTTTAAGGGTTTCAAGTTTTGACATCCCTTAGTGTCTATTGTCTGTACATTCGGAAATGTATTTCCACTCAACATTTTGCTCCCCAAAATTCTACTGTCATGCAGAGACAATTGTCTGGCAACAAAAACTTCACAGCTGATTTTCTACCACTTTGGATTTCATATAGAGCCTTCTACATGTACAATGTCAACACCCAATAAATTATTTAAATTTCTTATATTAATAACCTCTTATACAGTCAGCATTTAAATTTTTCTCCAATATTATTTAGATTGCTACAAATTGTTATAATTTGTGCTATTCTATTAGAAGAATACTTTAAATCCATTGGATTAAATTTCAAAACAAACTCCAGGAACAACATTGATTTTCAAGGTTTCGCTAAAGCTGTCTTTGTCAACTCTCTTTATATAGTGTTCATAATCATTATGAGTTCACCTCTCAGATGAACTAGGAAAAATGTCTCATTGCATAAATGTGTTCAAACATTCAACTTGACACCATGGTACTTTCCTAAGCAAAGCCATTACTTCACATTTTGGCAAATGTCTTTAATCTCTGGCTTAATAGAAATCTTCTGGCACTATTTGCTTTTGCTTTTAATTTGTTGTGATATTGTTCTATTTGAAATATATATAGAAACTCTCATCTCATACAGACATGGAATTGGAAAAGCAAGCATTTTGATAGCCTCTTCAGATAACAAGGGCATAGTTTTTTGATATTACAACATAACTTAAGTCGTAGTTTCTTAAAAATTGCAATGAGGAATCAGAAATCATAACAATAAACTTTTTGTACTCTGTACCCTAAACTTTACTGGTTTGTCTTGCAGTTTAAGATAGCTCTTTCATGATTTCCTAACATTAGGCACTGGTCAACTGGAAAATACTGGTTCAGTTTTTGCAATTTTTCCAAATGTAGAGTGGAAAACACTATATACTCATTAAGAGTGGAAAAGATAAATATATTAGCATTACTAGAAAAGTGATTCTGGACCTTTGGACCCCCTATATGGGTTACGAGTCCTGACCCATACCCTGAGAACCACCGTCTTCTGTGGGCTATAGGTTTGGGGGCCAAGGGCATCTGCAAATACAACAGATGTTTAGACTATCACTTTCCTGCAAAGTAACTTAATTGCATGAACCTAAATAAAGGTAAACTGTTACTACAAGGTAACGTGAACAAACCACGTATAAAGTCTAAAGGAAATAAAAATCACCTATACTGCTGCCTTCCAGAAACGATCAATGTGAACGTTTTGAACCACTGGACTCTCTACAGGAAGGTTGTGTTTTACTGATGTACAAAAATCAGATTTAGAAGTTGGCTGCCTTTTATAAGCTCTCAAAAAAATTTTACAGTATGCTGTGCATAGTTTTGCAACTCGTCCTTTTCATTTGGCCCTGTAGTTTCCCCGTATGTATTCTTTGAAAACTTTTTAAACGATTATCACATAATACAAAGTTTTCAGTCTCAAAATCATTTGAAAAAGTTGGACTTTAGCATAAACTAATTTCATTCTGTAAAACGTGGACATACAGGGTGCACAGCCCCGGCATCTGAGCGACCTCAGTCAGGGACTGGACAGGACGCCGACCCCCGAGCTGGTGCTCACCGTACACAACGCACGCGGGATTCGAGCTTCAGAAATCTGCGCGGACGTACTGAGCATGCGTGGAACGCGCCGGTCTTCCCGTCCGAGGAGAGGTTAGAGGTCGCGAGGGTGGGGCTGGACACTTTGGCGCATTTGCCAGGAGCTGCAACTCCCCCCTCCCCCCCTCCCCCCACCCCGCCATCCCTTTCCTTTCGAAACTGCGGCCGCGTCGGTCCGAACCCAGAGGGGCGGGCCCTCCGCGGGAGACGCACTTCCCTTCCGTGGCCGGAAGGGCAAGCGCTGGCCCAACGGGTGCGCTCACTGGTTGCGCATGCGTCATCCGTCTGGCGACCCCGGAGCGGCTTCGCGGCGCCGGATTCACCGCCCCTTCCGGAGTGCGCCTGCGCGATAGCCGGGGCTCCTCACCTCCGCTTCCCCTCCCCCTGGCCCCCTGCCGGGGCTTCGGGGCCGGAGGGACCATGTTCACCAGCACCGGCTCCAGTGGGCTTTGTGAGTACTGGGCCCCGCCATCCTGGCTGCTTCCTACGCGTCACCCTGGGTACCTCTCTGATGAGGCTGGGCACAGCGGGGACCCTCAGATTTGCTGGAGATTGGGGGCCCTCTGCCTTCCATCCCCTCACTCCATTCTTGGTAGTGGCTGCCCTTGGGGCCCGCGGGCCCTGCCCCCACCTCAGCCCGGAGGGGCGTTGGGCCAGGAGTCTCGCCGCCAGCGCGACCCCAGAGGCACCCCTGGTGCGCAGCGCAGCAGCCCCGCGCTGCTGCAGGTAGGCTGGCCCGGTGGGTCGGCTGGTCGGCTGGTGCCATGCAGTTCTCTTGGCCCCGGCCTGTGTCCTTGGCTGCGCAGGTGCCAGGCTGGAAGAAGAGGCTGTTCCGGAGGAGTCGATGCTGGAACCCTGCCCCGTTCCCGGTCACCATCCCCATTCATTGAGGCCACAGTGGGATCGAACCGACTCTTCCCCTACATCCAAATCTCATCCTCTACTTCAGGAGCTGACTCTCAGTTTTACTTACCTGTATTCTTCCCCAGTCTCCCTGAAGAGTTTTTAGATAGAAACTGCTCAAAGTGCTTTAAAGTGGAGAGAAGTTAGGAAGTCATTTGGCCAGAGGGTACATGCCTGAGTGCTGGATGTGCTACATTTTACTGGAGTGTCATTGTGGTCGGCAGGCGGAGGGCACTGAAATATATACAGCCTTGCAAACAACTTTTTTCTCATGACCTTGTGTTTAATTGACTTTCCTTAACCTGGACTGTGTTTTGACCAAACAGCCCTGATATTAAGCACTGATACTCCAGTAGTGAACTGTTTAAACAGCTACAAATTTGCCGTTGCTTATCACTGTTACTACTTCCTATCGCTGCATGTGCCGTTAATGTTGCCAAGGTACAGGAATGCCTGACATTTAAAAATAGTAAGTTTTACTGTGAATGTCACAAATCTTTTCTGAGAATTCGTGTCTTAGTCTAAAAATTATTGTCAGAACCACGGGCACAATTTTAAATCTTCCTCACTTCTCAACCCGTTAGGTTTTGCATTGGCTTTAATATTTATGATTTCCCTTGTTTCATAATTTGTTAACGTGAAGGCTTTTAGGGAATCTTTCATGCATTCGCTCCAGAGACCCTTGCAACTACAAGCAAATTAAGCTTTTCCAAACTACCCTTTGGATAAAGAACATCATGACTGTTGATGAAGCTGACAGTTCAAGAAGATGATGTGGTTTTCCTAAGATTACAAGACCCTGGTGGATATAACATTAACAGTAGGGTTCTTCAGTTTTAGTTGTTCTTTATTCAGAAATTTTTTTGGTACCGGGGATCAAACTCGGAACCTTGCGCTTGTGCAGCAGGCGCTGGAACCACTGAGCTAAATTCCTGGCCCCTTTATTCAGAATTTTGAGTTATCATTGCTGACCAAAATACATATAAAAATTTAAGAAGGCGAGAGAAATCTGCTATGAGTTGCTGTACCATATGAACCATGAGATTGTATGGGCAAGGGGTATTCAAATTTTAAGCAGAATAACTCGGGGAAGGTAATACTTTATTACCAGTGGCACAGCTAGGTGACTTTTAGAAGCCAAATCAATGCCTTAGGAGAGGCCTGGGCTGCCTCAGCTGTCTTGCCCTTTCTCTAAAATAAGTGTACCTAGTGTAAAAGTTGGAAGGATAGCCCTTCCTCTTATGGCTGTGTTTTATGTGCTCATTAACAAACATTTTGGGCGTGTGCTACAGGTGAACTGTGCTAGGTGCAAGGAACACAATAATCAACAAATTTTTGTTTATTTTTTGAGACAAGGTTTCACTATATAGTCCAGGCTGGCCTTGAACTCATTGTGTAGCCCAGGCTGGCCTGGAACTCATAATGACCCTCCTTCCTCAGCCTCCCAAGTGCTGAGATTACAGGCATGTTGGCCTGGCTGTAATGACAAACAAGTCTTGGCCCTAGAGTTTATGATACTTGCAGTAGAGTTGAGGCACAGCTTTTCCAGGACTGGTCATTTAGCAAATCTGCATATTAGCAGTTAGCGTGTTTAAAATTTTTTTCTGGCAAAGCTACTTACTTACAGGGAAGTGATTTCCTTTAGATCAGAATCTGTGTGGCCCTTTGGTAAGTCTAAACAAGTATCCTGAAGAAGGAGAATACATCTGCTTAACCCTGCCCCTGGGAGTGGAGAGTAACAGTCTCCTTTAAGGAAGAAATCCCCACCTCTTTTTCCACCTGCATTTCCCCCCGATTTTGTGACTGGTAGATAGTGATGTTTTAGTGTTAAACTTAACTTTCATATTTTTTCTGTCTCATCCATTCACTCACCGGGCGTCTGTTGAGTAACAGAGGACATATGGAGGTTAAAGTGGCAAACAGTAAAGGTGGTCAGCGCCAGATAGGTTAACCGAAAATTCAAGTGCTTTCATATAGTGACAAGTTAGGAGAAATAGCTGAGATTGAAGTATGCTGGACACTGCTTTAACATTCATTGGAAGGGAAGATATCTGGGAAGGTGACATTTGAGCTGAGACCCAAATAGTGTGAAGCAACCAGCCACATTAGAGTTTGATAGAAAAAAAACTTTCCTTTTGAAGAAAGGGGACACAGTACGAAATGTGAAGTAGGTGCAGCAGGGTGTTTTCAAGGTGCTAAAGAAAGCTTGTATGGCTAGGACAGAAAATCAGATCAAGGGTATTTGTGACCATTTCTTTGAAACTGCCTTGCTATCTGCATCCTCATGTGGTTATGACTGGGTAAAATCCCACAGAAACAGTGTTCATGACTTATCTTGGACGCCTACTTGTAGACCAGCGCTGTCACTCAACTCTGTTGAGTAATACATGCATCATTTATTTCATTGCATGTATTAATAAGCATACACATTACTTGTGCACTTCACAGTATATTCATTGTGCAAAGTTGCACTCAACCAATACTAATTGCATGGTTAATGTATCCCAGGTATAGTTCCCAAGGAGTTCAGCATCCAGAGGAAAAAAATCAAGTAAAAAGAAATGAAGAACCATGCCCGGTGTGGTAGGTTTATTGCAGGAGGTGGGCTGATGGACATAGTTGTTAAAAGAACACTTCCCAGGTGATACTTGAGCTGAGTTTTGAGGGTTGGGCAAGAGTTTGTCAGGCATAACAGTGGGGAGAGGGCTTCTGTGAGGGTCAGAGTGTGGCAAAGAGGCAAGAGTTGAAGAATTAGGAGACAGATGCTTATAGCTGGAGCGGGCAGTTCCTAAGGGTGTGGTGAAATTGGATTGGTGACAATGGTGGGTGACCAGAATTGGGTACAGGACTGTAGACATTTTAACATTTAAACAGAGAGAAGCAGAGCTGAGGAAATGGCTGAGGAGGAGAGAATTCCAGAGGAGTGGCTAATAGCCTTATGCACTGCAGAGGTTTTTTAAAAAAAAAGTCTGAGAAATGAGTTTTTGAGAAAGAAAGAGGCTGCTCAGAACCTTTCTGAAATAGCTTGTCCAGTAGTCAGTCAGAGTGAGAAGCACAATATGGCTGGCTGAGGGCCGAGTGGGATGGAAAGCAGAGACTGTGGGGTTTGGGAAGCACTTTTAAGAAAATCAGTCATGAAGTGTGAGCCAGTGAGTTGTACGTGGCCAAGTCACTGAGTACAACCATTGAACTAAAGTTTCTCTCCTTAAAGTTGAGAGAAACCTTAGTTCATTGGAACAGTGTTGGGCAAGACCCAGCAGGGGAGTGCAAGGTGGAAGATGCAGGAATGACAGTCCTGGGAAACAGGAGGAGGTAACTGCCATCCATGGCCTAAGGTGGGCATGCTGCTTGTGGGCAGGGGACGAAAGCTGGGAGTTTCCTCTTGGTGATGGAGCAGTGGTTTCCAAATGCTGGCTGTCTGGGCTACAAAATGTCAACTAAGCCACTTTCAGAATTATACTTTACTGGGTCCTGCCTTTCGGGTCACATTGGGAAGGGCCAATGTAGGCATCTGAAATCTGGATTTTTTTTTTTTTTTTTGGTACCGGGGATCGAACTTGGGCCCTTGCACTTGCCAGGCAGGCGGTGGAACCACTGAGCTAAATCCCTGGCCCAAATCTGGATTTTTTTTTTTAAAGGGAGGTTTTTATTTTATTTTTTTGTCCCAGGGCCTCACACATGGTAGGCAAACACTCTATCACTGAGCCACCTCCTTGGCCCCTAAAATCTGTATGTTTGTTTGTTTGTTTATTTATTTATTTGGTACTGGGGATTGAACTCAGGTCCTTGAGCTTGCGCAGCAGGCGTTGAAACCACTGAGCTAAATCCCCGGCCCCAGAATCTGTATTTTTAAAGTCTCCCAAGGCAAATTTAATGAACAAACAGATTTAGATCAAGACAAGAGGTTAGACAAGCAACAGCAAGAAGGACAGAGAGACGCAGAAGGCCCGATTAAGGAAGTAGCAGATAGAATGGATGGCATAGAGAAGAGAATTTGTAAAGGCGTTTCTGCAGGTAGGTTGGGTCAGTCAAGGTTGTTGGATTGGGGTGTAGGGAGGAAGAGGAGTTGAAGGTGACTCTGGTTTATCATGAGGTTACCATTAACTAAAATTGAGAACACAGAGAAGGAAGGAGGAGCTCATTTCAGGGAAAGATAGTTCTGTCTTGGACCTGTGTAACATTGAAGAGTTACACAGGGGACACTTGGGGAGGTCTGGAGCTG